CCAAGCCTGATCTATCTATCTCTCTATTCCTTACTTGGCATCATACAGGTTTCTCGTGAACGAATCATCTATGTCCAAATAAGAACAGGCTGATATTGCAGTTTTCCTCAAATTGTTCTTTGCAGCGCTTCTCTAGAACCAATCATCATCGTTTTTCTAAGTTTTAACACAAATATTACTTATGTATTCGTCGTTTCATATGTCGCATGTATTTAGATATCTCTTTAAATACAATCTCGCGCTGTCATCCAATTGATTTCCAAGATTTCTTAGCTTTCCCTCCCTCTCTCTCTCTCTCTCTCCTTCCACAGCTCTCCCTCTCTCTCTCTATGTTATTCTGTCCCCTATTCCACTCTTTATCCTCATCGCTGTCTCAGAGATTTTTCGACGGTGTTTTAATGATGAGCTGTGTCCAAACGCTTAGATCTATTTAGCCAACATCATTTGTTGACTTGTCCATCTCTATCCATTCTCTTTGTCGTTTGCGCCATCAGTTTGACTATGAATAAGCTTTTGTCTCTTAGGTTCATGTACCCAGAAGTAGGATAGCTATCAACGTTTTTTTATACAAAAATGAGGGTTATACCCTGTTTACTTACATTTCTATCGACTATAATAAGGATAACGCTATGTAAAGGTAAGTTTGTACTCCGAAATCCGCAATTGGCTTCGTTTGGCATATTAGTCGTGTTGACCCAGTTGTGGGTGTGAGAAAGGAAAATCGTGAAGAAAATCGCAGATAATTAATTCTACGTTGAAAAATGAAAAAAGCACATGACTATCTCTAGTTCCTCTCCGTGATTAATAATAATTTGCTTTTGCAGTGCCCAGCCAACCTCTGAATTTCGATGTTAATCTAATCTCTGCAACTGAGGTAAGTATCTAGTTATATACGTCTATACTTATATTCTGGCATGCTTCAATTTCTAGTCTTGTATCCTATAATTAATTCTTATCCATTTAAGGCTCGTTACACATGGGAGGCACCGAAAGATTTCAGCGGCCACGGCTATTACCTTTACGCTGATAAACTGGTCAATGGACAACCGGAGAATGGCTTGTTGAGAAAGAAGAAAGTCGTGTTTGACAAAAAGGTTTTGTTTTTTGAATTTTTGATTTTTGTTTACAACATGTTTTAGGCGTCCCATGCTGAAGTGGATGACTTAGAGCCCAACACGGAGTATTCTTTTCGAATGAACGCTTTCAACTTTCATGGCGACGGCGAATTCACTCCTACGAAGATTTTGCTGACAGGCGGCTTGCGTAAGATTTTTTTTTAGCTTTTTGGCCATTTTTTCATGTCATATGATTTCAGCACCTCGTCAACCTGAGATTCTATCTGTTGAATTGCTGAACGAAGATCCTCCTTTGAAAGCTCGTATAGAGTGGAAACGGCCGTCTTTGAAGCCATTAGAAAGTCCGATAGAGAAGTAATAAATCCATATTATTAAGTGTTTTTACTATTTTTGCTTCTCAGGTTTCACATCTGGTATCGGGCGGAAGGTTCTGATAAAAAGACCCACGTAACAATTGATGGAACGAAAACGAGCGTCGAATTGAAGGGTCTATGTGAGTTTTTGATTGTTTTTTTGTTTCACTCAAAGTATTCCCTTATAGGGATGGGCCGTGTTTATGATATAACTCTGGCAGCCGAGAATATTGAAGGAAAATCTGTAAACGCCACTGAGAAGCTGGGAACACCAACGGGCTTGCCAGATGGTGAACCTCTCCACGTCCAATACGAGATAAACGAGGACACGGTAAGCTTTTGAAGTTTTTTTTTCTTTTTTACGTTTTCCACTTCTATAAAAGGATAGAAGGATGAGTCTTGCTATTCTTTCCGGTTTATTATGGAAATCCTTGTTTGTCATAACTGTCGTCTCATATTTAACTTGCAAAATAGAGGATAAGTGTCAGGATATTTCTAAGAAACTCAAAAGTACCAGATGTGCTAATTCTTTCGAAGTTATTCATCTGGCGCTTCGATGTTTTACGACTTCTAACATGCCTTGTGATGACAGAAAGCGACAGTTGTATCTTTCCAACTCATTTTGCTATGGTTTTCCAATTAACTTGCGTGCTTTCTACCTCCTACCCTACCTCCATCCCTACCTCCCTCCCTCTGTCTCTCCCTCCCCACCTCTATTTATGATTTTCTTTGTTTGTCAGCTTATTTACCTATTGCAGATGCGTATTTCGTGGGATCCTCCTGAAGAAGAGAAGAGGAATGGTAACATCTCTAGTTACAAAGCAATTCTGACTCCAATGGATGCAGAAGGAGCACGTAAGGAAGAGGAGGTTGGTTACTTTTTCCTGCCAATTAATTTATTCAATTTGTCTTTGCTTTAATTTGATGAGAAGAGTTTGATGGCGAATGCGTTTGGCTTCGTTAGACGTCGAAGTAATGAACTAAGATGGTGTGTGTGTGTGTGTATGCCCATGCCCATATATATACATGAGCTCATTGATCTTCCCAAGACATTGGCTTAATCTCATACGGGTTTGAAATGAAATTTAAGTGAGAAGAGAAAGAATATACTCATTTCTGCTTATGTTTAGTTAAATAACTATGAAAACGTCCAAAATTTCGCTCTTTTTTTTTGCACCCAGCCAAGTGATGTTTCCTCCCAAGTGGATTGTGAATATTGTTTTTACACAGACACACACACACACATACACACAATGCTTTTTATAGCATCTACTTGAATCTATGAAATGTCGAATTGAAATTGAAATAATATTTGCCATCTGTGTGTATGTGTGTCTCTCTGTATGCGTCTCTTTTAATCTAAATTTTCTTTTGATAAAAGTTTTATCTTGAGAAAATCCAATGCAATGCATTCTGATCGCTCTTTTCGCTCGGGAAACAGAAAAACAACTCTTCTCATTCCAGGTACAAGGTCTTCAACACTCCTTCAAAGTAGACACACGGAAGGCTTATACATTCAAAGTTGCCGCCTCAACGATGAAAGGACTGGGACCCTACTCACCTGTGTTGACTATAAATCCCGATCCCTCAAGTTAGTTTATTTTTGAAGATTTTTGAAGCATTTTAACTCGGTGAAGCGACAGATCGACTTGTATGCTTGACTAATTCCAGTTGAGCTTTTTCATTTCCTTTGATTATTATATAGTTTTCATATAAGTACTAGACATACACCTCCATATAAGGTAGTATAGATTTCTCCTTTTTTGCCTATATTTAGACTAAAGCTTTTATCATTTATTATTCTAATGGAGTCCGTGTCATCATTAAGGGAAAAATGCATTTTGAAACAAGCTTTCACAACTCCAGAAACCGTTTCATCTTTTTGGGATTCAGCTGTCGCTTTTGAACTTTCATGATTACGAGACGTTCATGTTTAAGAATTTTTAAGTTTATGAACACACACACACACACATACACACACTCCTCACATCAACATTGGCGTTTTCGAGAAACACACGAAATGCGCAGCTGCCCCACATGACGTATTAATTTGCATATTGAGAGCTACGTGAGCGTTTTACGTGAGCGAACAGCAGCAGCAGCACGCTTTTCATTTTACTTAATGCGTCATAGCAGATTGGTTGCTTTCACTTATTATTATTTCCTTCTCCATATTCTTAGTAAGATCAGTGTGCTTTTCTATTATTCAGACTTTCTATTGAATGAATCAGATGGTGTGTTCCATATTAAGAGCTTACGTGCATTATTCGTACTAAGCTCATGAGTATTGTTAAATATGTTTTCTTGAGGTTTCCATCATCAGATTATATTTCGAGCTTCCTGTCTGCCCACTTTATCTCGCATTAGTTGATTAAATGCCGAAGTGTCAGCCAAACAGCACATCTAGCTGGATATATTATCTTTCTTTGCTGTTTCATTCAAAGAAAAAATATTTTATTACTTTTTACCCCTTTAAATGTATCCCGAAATCGCTAATTTCATTTCACGCCTATAACCTAGTATGAAGCGGTAAAATTAATTTACATGTTATGCTCGAAGTTACTATTTTTCAATTTTTGTTTACCCGTTAGAAACTGGCCAACTTAGCATTTGGGATCGACTTTTCGTTTCGTGTGATTACTTCAGTAATTGAATAATTACGCCTCGGGGTCCACCTTCTGACGTTTGGAATCTAAATTTACGCCGCAAGAACCCGAAGTGCTTTTATCAGTTCATTAATAATATATATGCTTTCAATTAGTTTACATTGCTGTTCTCGCGCAAGTGAAATCTTAAGTTTGACTTTGTGGTTTCCCAACACTTTCATGGTTTCTTTTCTACCTCCTCTCGTCGTATCTATCTAATTCGCCTGCCATTCGTGTGATATATGTTTTGAGGAGCCCAATACGTTTTCAATGCACTTTATAATTTTTGAAATTTAATCTGTGCGGATGTGCACGGGTCAAGTATTGTATGACCACCCTTGTTCATATCCAGTGTAGTCAAGGAGGCATTTTAATTCAAAATTTAAAGCGCATTGGCATTTTGAAAAACCTTATAAAGCTGCAACTCTCTTTGAAATCAATTACGTTTTTCTATTATACCACCAATACCACCACCACCACCACCATATACGCACATTTCGCTCTATTACCGATTAATATTCGCTTAGTCTCGGCTTTAATACTGCTCTCATGCTTATATTCCTGATTACTTGATATCCGCAGCTTATATTAAACGGATCTCAACTTATTAGTATTTAGATATATATCAACAATACTTTCATACATATGCTTACCATCATGCATCATTCAGTAGTTTGATGTGTTTGTCACACTTTTTTCAATTTGCAGTTCTTTTCATAGCACCTCTATAGCATTGCTTGTATTATTTTAACGCCCCACATAATTACTGCAAATATAAGTCTCTTTTTTTATATGAAAAACTGACTTCGTTCATACCTGAATAGACATGGACATGTTATTTCTCGTTGTTGTTACTCAGTTCAATCCTTTCTCTTATTTTCTTCATTTCAACTTTTTGATTTACTAGCCTCAGGACTCGAGTATCTATGTACGACTCCGTCGAAGATAGTCTTCCTGATGTCGAACAAACCACAGTTGATCCTTTGGAGGGTCCTCTCTCACCGACTGGTTGTAAGAAAGGCTTGTACGACAGGCTAGACGATCTTCTCGGACTTATTGCTTCTGGCTGGCGTTATCATATTTCCTCTACAGATGGCGTCAAAGAGTCTTGGCTTCGATTCGACAAAGCCACTGACAAAATCTGCTCTTTAATGTCAGGTAACGTAATAATGTTTCGAAGTGTATGGATAAGGTATCTCAATGTGCCAAACGTTTCAATTCACATTGTCCCTTCATGGTAAAAGCTTTTCTTGAGTAAATTCGAGTTGGTTCAATGACTAGAAGAGAACTCATTTCTTTAGTGTAGCTCATTTCCTTGAATGACTCCTTTTATTGTCATACTTCGAGACGACAAAGTTTGTCAACTTAGTTCTCCACCGACTCTCTAATCAGTGGGTGCAGGTTTTCACCCGTCCTTCTTAGCTTGTTGGATTAAGAGCGAAGTGAATTAATTTGAGTGCGATGGCCAAGATTGCGGGTTTTTTCATCTAATTTTCGTCCATCCGCTTCTTTCCGCTCACTCAATGTTTTCTTCTTTCTCTCAGTTCCATTTCACTGAAAGTCTTTCGTCGGATCTTCTTGGTAGTCTGTCTGGTTGGCAAGCCAATCATTCTACCCTCTAGTCTTCATATTACTGCACTTGGAGATTCTTCTACCTCATTTTTTGCTGTCACATCTATGGTAACTCGGCGATCGAAAAGATCTGGCCGAGGGAGAGCTCAAAATGGAGGTAAAACTAAGCAACAGCAGAAGTTGCAATTGCAAAAACTTAAAAACTCTCTTCGAAAATCACAAGGCATGTTTGCTTTCTCAATTCCACTTTATTGTTGTTTGCAAATTGTTGTTTAGAAGCGGGAAACGTGCAAGGCTTACGAAAGAGTCCTGAAACTTTGGAGCTGTTAAGTGAGATGGATGACATCTCAACGGCAGATGTATTTGATGCAATTGTTTCTCGTCAGCCTGGGCCTCTTGACATACGTCGAATGAACTCAGGCGTGATCAAAACCCACGATTCTGATGAGTCGGATGGCTTAGATTACAATGCTGTGACAGAACTTGACAAAGATGTGAACTTTGAATTTTCGGAAACAAATTCGAAGATGCCTCGTCTTCTACCACCATCTTCAACTCAGCCACGTAGTAATTCTTCGAAGCCTATGTTTCACCAACGTTAGCCTTTTCACACTTTTGCCCTAAACTTGAGCAATTATGCCTAATTAGGCTTTTCTCGCTTGTCTCTTGCACATCTTGAATGAATGAAAAACCCTCAAGTCTTTTTATTTAAGAAGTGCCTAAGAGCAGAGCCTTAGCCTTCTGAACTGATCGACTTTAATGGAAGTTGTCAAGCGCAGTTTTTACCGAGAGAAAGAGCAGTTGTAGATATTTTAAAACTCCACAACTTATGTGCTCTTTCTATATTTTGATGGTAATTACTTGCTTATGCTACTTCACCTTGAGTATTTCCGTTTTTGGCTATTATACTCCATTTGCATCTGAATCCATTGCAATAGAGCTCAGTGTATGAGTCTTAAGATTCATGGAAATCTGTAATGGATAGCCTATAGTTTTCCATATTATTTTCTAATATTACTTTCCATTCTTGCTTCCTTTTTTGGACTTAAAGGACAAATCGAAACTCACTTTTGGTGATCGCACAGTTTGAGATTTCATTGCTTTGCATATCATCGTAGTCGAAATTATTAAAACGAATGGAATTGAATCCTGATATACCCTTTATCCGACCTTCCTTTCAAAATATCAGTCGATCTACGCTTCACTATCGTCCAACTAATTATGCCGTAGTACGTCCTTTTCCCACTCGAATGCCATATTCGGTCATTTCCACTGAAAAGGGTATACTATCGGCTGTAATTAACACTCTACTTGGACCAGGCAATTTTTTTCAGCTTCATTTCCTTTTATGGATGAATCTAATTAGCATATTTCAGCACTTGTTGGTCCACCTACTAATGTCCGTGTCGAAGCAACTTCAAACACATCTGTCATCGTTCAATGGGATTTCGATGGAGGACCTGTATGTTTCTAAAGAACTCTGCAGTATTTTATGAATTATTCATCAGGTTGATGGATTTGTCGTCCGATATATGCATGAGCCAAACCAAAGAAGGGAAGACCGATGGATATCACGGACTGTCCAAAATTCCGCGACAAGGCATCTCCCCATCTCACAACTCACTGCTCACAAACCTTATGCATTCTGTGTGATGGCCATTAAGAACAATGTAATGACTTTTCTGGGGAGTTTTATTATTTTATTGGTTTTTTGCAGAGACAAGGAGCTTGTTCCGATCCTCCAACAATCATCAAGAGCGTCACTCCTGAATACATGGTGACAGATCTTGAAGTTGTCTGGAAGACCAGTCAATCTGTCAATTTAAGGTATATTTGTTTGTTTCCGGCCATGTAACTAAGTCTTGTTATTCAGATGGAAGTATGATGGTCCTCAGCCTGTAGGCTTCTACTTCAATCACACCGGACGTAAAGAATATTTCGATCAGACGATGACTCTGAAAACCATGACTACCCCCGGTTATAAGAGAGAATTGGATGGAGACAGAACTGAATTCCTTCTCACATCTCTACGACCATACATGCTTTATACTTTACATGTGGGAGTCTATTCTCCAGCCACCAAAAGATATTATTGGCCACAAGAGGTTTGAATTTGATTGATTTGAAGCCTACAAAGACTTTCGCCATATTTAGGTCGAAGTAATGACAGACCCCACAGCTCCTCCTTATGTAGCTCCACCAATTATAATGGCCGGAGATTATAAAAACGGCTTGATTCCTGTGCATCTTCAGCCTTCTACGGAAGAATATGGACCCATTTCCCATTATTGGCTGATTGTTCTTCCAGGAAATTTCACGCCGGTTTGTCTTTTCAAGGCATATTTTGGTTATTGTGTTTGCCTTTTAAGGAAAATGTTATGAATTTGGAGCCAATTATGCTTCAGCGATTGACAGATGAGAAACGGAAGGCTCTGGCAAAGCAAATCAGTGCTTCTCCAACGAAAAAGGTATTGTTATTCATAAGAGGGCAAACTCTCATATGCGACAATGTTCAGTTCAAACGGGAAGCTGATTGGGTTGATGAGGATGTTATTGAGAACAAAAGGATGAGGCGGGATATTCCAAGCACAGCTTATGTTACAGCTCGTTTAAAGCCTGAAGATCTTCGAGGAAATAAGCCTTTCATGATTGGTGATGAAAAGGTATAATCCCTTTCTTTAATCTTCATCAGGACGTAATAAAACTTTTTTCCGTTTTCAGATGTACGATGGCTTTACGAACTTCCCTCTCGAACCAAATAATAAGTATAGACTGATGATGAGGGCTTTTGCTAAAGAAGATAAAAACCATCAATTGAAACAAAGGCCTCCAATGTCGGAAAATCCTGCTAAACTCTATAGCGATTCGGATTTGAGTGAGATTTTCTCTACTCAAAGAGGGCTTAGAGGAAGCGGGAAAGCCGGTGGGATGTGGCTTCTTGGACCCATGATAGCTCTTCTCATTATTGGATTATTAATAGGCATGCTTGTGTGCTGGTATGTAAACATGAAACTTAACCATACATCATATTCAATTGTTAAGGTGGCTTCGTTGCAATAAGAAGTCAGCTGGAAGAGGTCATCGACATGGATCCATCACTAAGGTTGCGTTAGGCGGAAATATCATGAACGGCGGTCCGGGAGAAACTAGTAAACTTCTTTCATCTGATTACGGAAGGCCTATAATGAATCCTTACGAGCAGGTAATTGTCTCAAACATTCCCGCTTCATACAATTTTGTTTCAGATGAATTCAAGTGGATGTATGGAATCCTCTCTAGACCTTTATCCAATGCCAGCAAGCCATTCTCGGATGGCAAATTATGGACCTGTTCCCGTACCAGTGCCTTGTCTTCCAACCAATGGAGGAGTAATAGGTATTTTTTCCTGTTCACCAGCAGTTTGCTCATTATTTTCTCATTCCAGCAAACCACTCAGTAGCACATCCTATCATTCCCATAACTGAACTTGCTTCTCATATCGAAAGACTTCGTTTGAATAATAATTCTGGATTCCAAATGGAATTCGAGTCTATCGAAACAGGACAGAATTACACTTGGGATCATAGCAACATGGATTATAACAAACACAAGAACCGTTACGCAAACGTAGTCGCCTACGATCATTCAAGAGTTTCTTTGACAAATGCCGAAGAAGTTTCTGGAGGAGATTATATAAATGCTAATTACATTGATGGATATGATAAGGTACTAATGACATTCATCCGCAGATACAAACAACGTGTTTTTCTTTCAGCCGAAAACATACATCGCCACCCAGGGCCCTCTTCCTGAAACGTTTGCCGACTTCTGGCGAATGGTGTGGGAGGAAGGATCAGCAACCATCGTTATGCTCACCAATTTGGAAGAACGTTCAAGAGTCAAATGCGATCAATATTGGCCGACACGGGGAACTTCCGTATACGGAAACATTCACGTGACTCTCCTGGAGACCATGGTTCTGGCTCATTACACCATGAGAACTTTACGAATTCAATGCTCTGATGAGCCTGAAGTTCGAGAAATTCGATTGTTGCAATACACAGCATGGCCAGATCACGGAGTTCCGGACCACCCTACTCCATTCTTGATCTTCTTGAAACGAGTAAAGACATTGAACCCTCCAGATGCGGGACCAATCATTTCCCACTGCAGGTAGGAGAATGAATAGAGTATCGGATTAAAGTGTTATTTTAGTGCTGGTATCGGAAGAACAGGAGCTTTCATCGCTGTTGACATCATGCTTGAGCGTCTCCGTTACGAAAGTACCGTTGATATTTTCGGGTGTGTGACAGCTTTGCGTGGACAAAGATCCTATATGGTTCAGGTTTGTTTTCTATGCAGAGAGAAAGATTGTCGAATTCTTTTTTTAGACGGAAGATCAATATGTATTCATCCATGATGCCGTCTTAGATGCCGTAAATAGCGGCTCTACGGAAGTACCTGCAGCCAAATTACATCAGCACTTAATGCAAATTCGCTCCATGGATGGTCATGGAGTTTCCGGGATTGAAATGGAATTTAGAGTAGGCGTTGAGAAGAAACTTCTTTATGTAAACGTTAATGTTCAGCATCTTTCCACTCTCAAATGGGCTAACACTCGATGTGCAGTTGCCAATCTTCCTGTGAATCGTCATAAGAACCGACAGATTTCCGTTGTTCCATTTGACAGCAACAGAATCATTCTGAGAGCCATTCCTGGAGTAGAAGGAAGTGATTATGTCAATGCTAGTTGGGTTGATGGCTACAGGTTTGTCATTATCTTACTCATGAATATTTCTTAATTATGTCCTTTCAGAGAGCGTGGTGCATATATCGCTACTCAAGCTCCAATGGAACAAACCATTTTTGATTTCTGGAGAATGATATGGGAGCACGAATGCGCTATCGTTGTCATGTTAGCCGGCAATATAGAACTCAATAGGGTAAGCTTATTTCGTGTCAGGAATATCTCTTAAAAAAATGTTTCAGGGAGATTGTATAGAGTATTGGCCATTGGAAAACGGAACTCAAGTTGGAAACTTGGTTGTTGAACCTCTTGCCGAATACAACATGCCGCAGTATGTGATGAGGGAGTTCCGGTTGAGTGACATCCAATCTGGCTTGTCACGAACTGTCCGGCACTTCCAATTCACAGATTGGCCAGAACAAGGGCCTCCCAAATCTGCTGAAATGTTCATTGACTTCATCCAACAGGTAGGATTACCGAGTAATCCATTTGATTGTATTTATAAATATCTGTTTCAGGTTCATAGAACGAAAGCCCAGTTTGGTGCTGACGGACCTATAGCTGTTCATTGCATAAGTGGAGCAGGAAGAACCGGAGTCTTTGTGGCTCTATCGATCTTACTGGATAGAATGCGTCTTGAACATGTGATAGACGTGTTCACAACTGTGAGAACATCTTATAGCCCATCAATCATAACCCATCCATATTTTTAGGTAAAGTTGTTGAGGACAGAAAGACAAAGTATGGTCCGGGACAAAGAGCAGTATGAGTTCCTCTACCAAGCATCATTGGAATTCTTATCATCATACGATCAGTATGCTCCATCGTAATTATAGTATTTAAGTTATTATTATATTATTTTTATTGATACGTTTCTAATATACGACAACGGGTATGATATATCACATATTCAAACGTAACCGCTCTTCACAGCTTCTTTCCTTATATAGAATGCGGGTCTACCTCTATCATATTCCACTTAACTCACCATTTGTGTTGATAACTTTAAAAGTTTTTGTATTTTATCTAAAGAATTCTCAGGAATATTATTATGATCATTGGCTTTTGTCGTAAATAAGTGTAACTTATAGCCTCATCATTGAGTTTTCTAGTTCATAATTCATTTGTCCGGTGATGTCGCATCAACCTTCTTCTACCCTACGTATGGTTTTCTGGTCTGATATAGTTTGTATTTCTACGTTATAAGAAACTAAAGCAATAGATTGTTTTAAGATTTGAAACTTCAGGGGTGCTTTTATCCTCTTTCAATCCTTTGTACTCGCAGAGTATTTATGTTTTTCAGTGTGTGATGCAAGTGCTGCATGCATAAAATAAATTATTACAGTTCAATTTATGTCTATTCACAATAACAAGGAACAAAACAGAATTCCTAAACAAATTACAAACTCGGAAGCTGTTGACGATAATTTTGAATATCCGCGCTGGGGCGCCTCTTCATAAACGAGCTGGACTTCTTCGTTTGTCGGACTATTGCAATGATGTTCTTTGCAGCAACATAGAGAAAACTGAAATGTTGTGGGTGACTAATGGTATGTTTCAATTAAGTCCTATGGGACATTTTTTTTATTTTAAAAACTCACATTTCCTCTCATGCCGTCGTAGTACGAACGTGGTGTGCATCCTTTGATTTTTACGCATAGCTCTCTGTCTCCTCCAGTGTAGGCACATCTTGATGAGATTCCTTGATGGATACCGCCATCTGCAATGATGAAATAGCAGGGCAAGATAGAAGGGCAAGTTTACCATCATCAACAGCTTCATAAATATTAACGCGAATACAATATGCTGCTTGACAGGGAACACTTTCATTGACAGGGAAAAAACTATTATCACGACTTGCCTAGAATAGTTAGTGCGCTCAAAAACGGGGGGTTAGGGAGGGACTTACCTGCATCCTTCCTATAAATCCATGTGCACATTCGTATAAGCACAAAACTGAGGGCAGGAGAATCATCAATGTGTAGAGCAGAAACATTTTCTGGCTTAAAATAAGCGTTCAAAAGAATGTATGAGAGGCACGTATGAAATGTGGTAAGAAGTTATCAAGTATGTGAGAGCGAGACAACCTATATTCAAAAGAGATGTTGGGGAGGAAGAAACTATTCTCAAATCTTAAAGCTTTGAATGAAGCTCTATAAGAGCTATGCAAACTCGTCAATTTCATAAGGCAGATGTTCAATGAAAGAAATTCTTTAGGATGTTTAATCTTCTCGCAGTTCAATATCATCAATGAATGGCAAATGCAATAATGATGATGATGATGATGATGATGTAGTAGTAGATGAAGACGAAAATGATGTCGAATGAGGTTGGTTAAGGTTAAGGCTGTGGCTGGTTATGAGGAATTGAGAACGCATTCGATGGCACACGCTAAATACATGTAACAAACATGTAGCATGATGGAAATCTTTAGGGAGCAGATTGAGTTTATGAGAACAACAGCCTATTTATCATAGTTTTCAGAGAGAGAGAGCCAAATATGTTTCACAAAAGAAGAAGAGCCGGAATGAAAAAATGAAATTTGACAATACGAAATTGTACTTACCGCTGTACTTCAATATTCAAAAGCGGGAACGTCAATAATGAAAATTCAGATGAAGAAGATGGATTTGAACTTAATAATCGAATTTCCTCGGCAATTTGAAGATATTGGTTAGACGAATAGTCGCAGATAATTCTTCACAACTTTCTAGCTTCAACAAATCTGACGGAGAAGCAACGTCAAAGTACCAAGGGTCGCCGTCGGAAATTACAGCTGTCTCCGCAGCAAATTTTAATAGGAGTCGAAATATACAGCAGCTTAATGAAGGCAATCGCTTTAATTAAGCGTAAACTGTAAATCCATTTAGCCTACGAACGTGAGCGGCCAAAGAAAGTATCAACCTAGATAGTGGCTCATGCTTAAGAAAAGCTCAAGCAGTAAGCATCAAATCTAAAAAAAAAGGTATCAGATTGCAACATACGGATATATACTTACGATGTTTGCTTATCGATTCCATTTCCCATGGAATCCATCTTTTTACATGAGAAATTACTTTTTGAATTTCAGTATGACGCTGAAAGCCATTGCGCCGCCTCAAGTGAAAAACGAGAAGATGTATCTAAGATTCATTCGACAAGTAAGATTATTGTGTTAGTGCATATCAATGTGATGGCTTCTTCGAGCTGTTCGTTGATTTCTGTAATACGTTCAAAAACATATTAATTATTCATATTTAGGTTATGTGTACCTCAACAGATTCAGTACTTCCGTGTTTATCTTTGACATCAAAAAGACTTTGTCCGTCGACTACAAGTTTTAACGGCTCCACATGTACGTTTTCAGCATTGGTCTAAAACAAACAGACGTAAGAGGCAATTTCAAAACATTCTGTCTAACCGAAAATCTATATTTAGAAATGAGCGAATACGGCTTGTTGTTGATCAAAGCTTGCAAATGAAGAACTTTTTCGTGAACTCGCATTGTTTCTACAAAGCTCGAATGGCTATATTAGATTCAAATGACTTACCAGAATGAGAGTCGTCTAAACATTGCTCTAAGAAGTGCTCCATTACTTTTGGAGCTTCTCCAAATGATTTGGAACTCCCGAAAGATTTCGGAGCACTGTTCTTAGACACCGGCATTGTTGCGGAAAGTCTTTCTTTATTTTTTCGACTAAAAGTATTTTGCATTTAAGATACATGTTCAACTCAGTTCGCTTACCCAATTTCTTGCAACTTGGTCACGATTTCATCACGATGTTCGGTATTTTCATCTGTGGTTGAGTGATGGATTATTGATTTTGATTTGGATTTGTTCGACTCATCTGGAATAATGATAATTTAGTGGGCCAACTGTGGGAACATCAGTACCTGTACTGGAATAGTCAAACTTGCTGGTGGTATCAGTGAAGTTCTCAATGAGAAGAGTTGCTGAAGGAATCAATTCGCTGTATGCATCAGAAAGCACTACTACTGAACCTTCCGTTGGTTCTTCTTCTTTCACTTTGGGGAAGCTTGGGGACTCTTGGATAACTCTTGAGCGATCGAGATCACTTTGTATCAGACGAGTAAGTGATTTTTGAGCTGTCTTGGTCTTATTACTATTTTTAAAATAGGAATACTCCCAAACATTGGCTTCCTGAATATTTAGATGCAAATCAATTCAATCAGTACGACGTGCTTACGTTTGAAATGAGCTCTGAGATGTATGCTAAAGAGCCATTCTTCTCTTTGATCATATAACTGTATTCACGTCGTTCTTCTTTACGTGTAATGATGGAAGCATCCCATATATGTCCTGCAGTTGTTGCTCGGGTGTCAATGAGCACTTCACGATCGATAATAATCCTTCAAAAGGTGAGTAAGTGGAATATCATTCTTTCTAAGCTTACTTGTCTCCTTCAGTAAAGATATGTTCATGGAACTGAGACATTTCGGCTTTTTTGTCTTCGCTCTTGAGAACCATTGGGATGCTCCTGAGTGTTAGTGTTAGCGTTCAGGCAGACATGAGTTGAAGAATAATCTTACTTCTTGCGTTCAAGACAAATTTCAGTTGGAACCAAGCTAGAGAAGTTCAATGTGATGAACTCTCTCTTACGGAAAATGTCTTTGTCCAGAGTTGACTCGTCGGTTGATTGAATGGAAAGGAATTCATCCCTGAAGAAACAGTTTTTGAAACTTGAAGTTGGCTCAAACATACGTCGGTCTTTGATGAGCTTTTTCATTAATAATTCCAGGAGCAACTTTTGGATACAATCTGGACTGCTCTGTAGTGATGGGATCAGGAATGTTCTTTTGCTGAATATAAGGAGGTTTGATCGTATGTCGGGTAGTTTGATTACCGAGAACATTGTGTTCTTTTCAATGACAATGACTCTTCTGCCAACGAATACTCTTTGTACTGTTGTTGAAGCGGTTGCACCATTTTCCAAGCAGGTACTTCCTACTGTCATTTCTGGACGAACCTAAAAGAAGGGGGGTCGTAGGTGTAACTCCTCTCGAATACTAGCCTCTTTAGCGAAGCATAGTTCATCTTCTATTTCATTTGGTTTCAAGTTTGATGAAACGATAGTGATGATTGTTTGGAGGAAAATCTTTTTGCTGACCGGGTCGACACAAACAACTTGTCCTGTGCGAACCTTAATCGAGAATGAATTTACAATCTATAATGATATTACCTGGAGTGGTGCGGACAAAATACATGGAACTTCGAAAGCTTCAGCCGCCTTCGATTGAGGGAATAACTCCCGAGCAACTGAGCTTTTCTCTGTCTTTACTTTCATCATTTCAACATCAGCTTCAGTCTCCTATACATCGATTGTATGTTATAACTTGTTTCTTCAAACCGATTCTGATTCCAAACTATAGACATCAGCGTCGTATTGGCTTTTGCTTTTGTTAACTCCCTTCAACAGAACTTCGCGTAGAAGAGTGGCTGGCTTCTTCATATGCTCAGATAATCTATAGCCACACAATCATTAATATCGAGCCTAGGGAAACCACTCACAATTTAGGGGTGGAAGTGGCGCGACGCAAACGGTTGGCTTTCGATGGTGATTGAATTGACGTATGAAGCTAAAGCAAATTGACTATCATTTGTAACAGTTTCTAACCACAAAAGTCGAATCGTCCATAACATATTCTGAAGATGAGTCAATCGACCTGGGTACTTCGATAGGACTGAATGGTAGTTCTTGGAGGAATGGATGATTACGACTATTTCCATTCTCATCATAATCCATATTGCCAGTGTCAACGCTTTTAGTTCTTCGGGTTGCAGATGGAAGCCTAATTTGAAACTTTTCATAACTAAAGGGATGATTTTTCATACTTTTTTGAGTTTGACTTGCGAGTCTCTTTCTTTTCTTTTACTGGTCTTGAACGACTTCTAGATGATGCGGTGGGTTGTGCGTAGTGCTGAACACTTTCTATTATTTGGACATAAAATGCAATTGAGAAACCTTGCCACGAGCTACACGCCCATGTAAAGTCTTCTTAGTGGCTGGTCGACCCCTGGTAGCAGATCTGCTTCTACTTCTTGAGGAAGACATAGCTGACGATGATTCACTTGTGGATTCGGCACGAGAGCGTCTTGTGGATTTAGAACGCTTTTGCGATTGAGCGCGAGTTTGGGAACGAGTACGAGCCATTTATGATAAGCTAGTATTTGAAGATGAGATGCAGCCGGTTTAAATGCTGTTTCTCTTAAAAATGAAAGCGTCTGACCTATGCGTTCTCACGTGGAAATTACGTGATTTCTGATTGGCTAATTTTTTTTCATTTTATTTTTGGGAAGGGAGCGGTCGGTTTCGAGAACCGAAAGATATCACTGGACATTAGTGGATCATCTAATTTTATTAGATTTCTTAACGTACAGGCCTCAAAGCACAATGGCGTTTGGCTTTTCACCAATTTATTTGAATTTTTTTTAATAAAACTTTTTGGTTTTGTTCCGAGGCCACCTTGTCTGAACCCATTTTAAAATATAAAAAATTCTGATCGCGTCGAGACCAATTTGCTAAAAATTTCAAAATTTGTCAAAACTTGGAAATTTTTCAACTTAATTTAAGCTTTTCTTCATTTAATCTGTCTTATATATATTATATTTCAATGTTAAAGTGTTCCAAGAGCGTTAATTCACATATAGAAGACAGCTTCCTCTCGGTTGGATGTTCCGTTTGAAGGCTTTTTCGTTTTCTTTCTTGGTGATTCTGAAAGGATATTTCAGGTTTAGTTTTGTTTGTTATCTCTGATACGTTTTGCAATGGAAATATCAACGAGCTGCCTGGTTCCTTGTACTTGCTATACTTAGAAGATTTAGATCATTCACTGTTATCTCGTTTTGAACCTCCCACAGGACTCTATGCAACCAAGGGAATGAGTAGCAGGTTGTTACATTTGGTTAAAACTCAGTTTTTCATTTTCAGATTTCCAGGCAAGCAGAACTGACATCTACTACTGCGTGATAAAGGAAGTCTCCAACATCGACTGGGTTCGTAGCTTCTCGCGCTGTTGAGGGGACTTGGAAGTTAGTCGTAAGTCTTTCTAGTCACTTCCTAATCCGATTCGAATTTCCAGTCATTCCCAATTCACTATACTGCTACAGGTTAGATCTTCATTGCGTTTTTTTCAGTTGATGAATCAAGTAAAGGCAGTGGTTCGGCACTGGTTCCCACCAGTTTTAGTATTCAATGATTCTGATGGGATCAATTCATTGCTTATGAATATCAGAAGATGAACTATGTTTGTCTTATTTCAGGGACCAATTCAGGAAACGATTTGGACTAGTTTGGGCGGAGTTATGAGTCTCTACCTACTGTTGAGTCTGTTGAGCATCGCACGACCGCTTACTAATCTTTCAGATGTGAAATGAAAGCGCCATTTGTGTAAATGCAAATACCACATGGAGCGTTGGCACATCACATACCCTAAGCAGTCAAATGGTTGTAATTCAGCGCA